TTTCGTTTTTTTATTCATACATACTATCTGCAAGATTCTTATCTTTGCCTTAAAAGCACAGTGGCTTGTTCGTTCCACTGGTTTGGTGTGCAATATCCTGATCTATGACAAGGGTATATAAGGGTCATGCAAAAGGTTTTTTTTTTGTAGGAATGGCCCTCCATATAGGCTGTCATCGCGCACCGATCTGTGACCCTGATCTAGTCATCTGCGCCGTAAGCCGAGTGTTGTTTTGCCCCGAACGCCGGGCGACTGGGCGGAAGTTGATTAAACGTAAATCTCGACGGATATATAATTCAGAATGGCGTCGAAGATTTTATGGCGCTGGATATTGGAGCGCGTTCTGACATCGCTTTCGAGTATTTCAAAAGAGTACTGTGTTTCAAAAGGCTTCACTACAATAGATAAATGAAGTAATAAACACCGAGGAATTCGGGACTATTTATATTGGATCCGAATCGCTGGGAATCGAATCCAAAACGATTTGAAGAGTTTTCGTTGATCGGATCTTCGTCTTTGTATTGGGGAGTTTATACTGATTCGTGGTATTAATTGTGATTTGTTCCTTTTTTTCTTTGTTTGCGCTTTCCCATTTTTTTCTCTCCCTTTCTCTTTCAATCCATCCTTCCATTCTCTCTCTTCTTTCTCTCTCTCTTCTCTCTTCTCTCTCACTCTCTCTCTCTCTCTCTCTCTCTCTCTCTCTCTCTCTCTCTCTCTCTCTCTCTCTCTCTCTCTCTCTCTCTCTCTCTCTCTCTCTCTCTCTCTCTTCTCTCTCTCTTTTCCTTTCTCTCTCTCTCTCTCTCTCTCTCTCTCTCTCTCTCTCTCTCTCTCTCTCTCTCTCTCTCTCTCTCTCTCTCTCTCTCTCTCTCTCTCTCTCTCTCTCTCTCTCTCTCCATCACGTTTCACTTCCCTCTCGTTCTCTCCCTCGCCCTTTCTCTCCAGCTGATGAAAAGGCAAAACCGAGGGAGGGAAGGAGGCGGAGGAGAGCCCTAGAGAAGGAAGAGTTTGTGTCATCAATATCCCATAGAGAAATCCAGTTCGAGTGTCTTCTCATCTCCTCCCTTTCCACCCCTCTCTCCCTCGCCTCCCCCTCCCCTTCCCCTCCCTTGCCTCCCCCCTTCGCCTCCCTCGCCTCCCCCCCCCTTCCCCTCCCTCGCCCTCCCCAACGATAATCTGCTTGAAAATATCCTCATGAAATATTAGTGGAATCTTAATGGTCGAGCCGGTCGTGTTTATGAGGGGATGAGGTGGGGGGGGGGGAGGGAGGGGCGGAGGCTCTGAAGTGTGCGCCGGCGTGAGGAGGGGGCGTTAGTGCGTGCACACACTCTTGTATGTGCACACATGCATATATGCAGAAGCTTTCGCACTTTGACAAACGAACGAGCACGCGCACACACAGGCAAACACACACACACGCGAACAAGCAAACACAAAACCCACCAACAAATACAAAGGAATGTAAACACACCAACGATCAGGCGCGAGCACACAACTAGACAGGGAAAGGGGAATAAACACGGACAGAGACGCAAACACACGCACAGACAAGCACACAGAGACACAGACACAGACCAATTACATGAACCAACACTATTACATACACACAGTATCCCTCGTGCACCATTACACACATTTAATCACATACAGTATCCCAGAGTCATACTGTCACTATTGCACACACGCAATATCCTAGACACACGCACACATAAACAAACAAACAAATCACACACACAGACACACACACACACAAACATAAAACACACATACACACACAAACAAACAAACATAACACATACACACATACACAAACATAAAACACACATACACACACAAACAAACAAACATAACACACACACACACACACAACAAACAAACATAACACACACACAAACAGACATAACACACACAAACATAACACACACACACAAACATACACACAACACACACACAAACATATCACACACACACACAAACACACACACATACACACAAACACACAAAACAAACATAAACAACACAACACACACACGCCCGCACGAACACACACACAGAATTACACACGCGCACAATTTATTTGCGAAAGCAAGACATGATGGATGAGGAGAATATGCAACTGGAGAGAGGTAGGAAAAACAGAGGAGGAAAAACACAAGGAGAAAGAGAGCAGCAAGGAGGACGAAGAAGAGGAACTGAGTCTCAGAAGATGAGGTATGACGGAAGGACAGATGATTGAGGAGACAGGAAAATGTGTCAAGATTATGAGCAAAGAAGAGAATGAAATGCAGCGGGGGGCAAGAAGGGGAGAGGGAAGACGGGAGGTGGGAGGGGAAGCGCGATAAAGAAGGGGAAATAGGTGAAATCAGGAAGGGAAATGTAATCAAAGATGGCAGCGAAGAACGTAATCGGGCAGAAGGGAAGAGACGATAAGGAGGAGAAAGAACGAAAGGAGACAGACACGAGAGAAGAGTTCCTTTCGCTTGTACATTTCGCTCTATGGACGGCGGTGTATAGAGTAAGTGAAAAGTTTGTTAATACCGTAGAGTTTAATCCAATTGACTAAGGCATAAAGTGACCGTAAAAGAGTGTTATATTGACGATAAAAACAAAGGTTTGAGGTAATTAGAGGAATGGCTGTGTGTTTTTTCAAGATTTAGGAAATAAGTAGTGAGTGCTTTAAGTGAAACATGGGTTGACGCCGTAGATTTTTTTACACCTTAGGGATGATGCGCTTCACACGCATAATCAAAGAATCGTACATACGCACACACACACACACACCACAGAGAGAGAGAGAGAGAGAAGAGAGAGAGAGAGAGAGAGAGAGAGACGAGAGGAGAGAGAGAGAGAGAAGAGAGAGAGAGAGAGAGAGAGAGAGAGAGAGAGAGAGAGAGAGAGAGAGAGAGAGAGAGAGAGAGAGAGAGAGAGAGACAGACAGAGACAGACAGACAGACAGAGAGAACGGAACTTCTGATCCTCCTCCAGCACAGGCCCAAACTTCCTCCCAACTTCCCCAGTTCGAGACGAGGGCAAATTGGCACCGACCGATGATCAAACTCTCTCTCCCGATCATTGATTAGCATTAGTACGTAATGATCTTCCAATTATCGGCTGCTGGTAATCTAGCCAGCCGGCGGTTCATTAAGACTTGACCTTGGCTCGGCGGAGGTCGCGGAGGTCAAGGGATATTGCCTTGCTTGAGTTTTGGCGAGTTAAGAAGGGCGGGGTATGTGTGTGTGTGTGTGTTTTATGTGTATTCGTTGTGTGTGGTGTGTGTGTGTGTTTGTGTATGTTTATGTATGTGTATGTGTGTGTGTGTGTGCGTGTATGCGTGTATGCGTTGTGTGTGTGTGTGTGCGTGTATGTGTGTATGTCTGTTTATGTGTGTTTATGTGTGTGTGTGTGTCATGTGTGTGATTGTATATGTGTGTGTTTGTATGTGTGTGTGTCAAGGGATATTGTAGGTGACACGCGTATGAAATTGTCTATATGACTGTGGTCGGTTTACACATGTATCTGTCTCTGTAAATTCTCGTATGTATATCTATGTGTGTATGTTCTGTGTGCGCACGGACACACGCCCAAACAAACGCTGATCGTTAGCAATAATTCAGAGAAATAGTGGAGAAATCGGCCGATTGAACACACGACTCAGGGAAGGAGTGAGTAAAGGAAGGCATAGGAGGAGATAGAGATAAGGAAAGGGGAGAGGGAGGGAAGAAGGAAAGAAGAGGAGGAGGAGCAAGGTAATAGAGATAAGGAAGAGGAGGAAGATAAGAGGGAGGAGGTAGAGATAAGGAAAGAGAGGGAGGGAAGGAAGGAAAAAAGAGGATGAGATAGAGATAAGGAAAGTGGGAGAGGGAGGGAAAGGAGGAGATAGAGACAAGGAAAGGTGAGGATAGAGATAAGGAAAGTGGGGAGAGGGATAGGAAATAGAGATAGGAAATGATAGAGATAGAGAAGGAAGGAAGGAGGAGGAGATAGAGATAGAAAGGGAGGAAAAAATGGAAGAAAAGATTCAGTTATTATTGCTATAATTATTACTATCTTTATTGTTATTATCATTATCATTACCACCACTATTATTATTATCATAATTATCATCATCATCATTATTATTTTTCATTATTATCATTATCATTATCATAGTTATTATTGATGTTACTATTATTGTTATTACTATCATTGTGATTATTTTCATTATTATAATTATTATTAATTTCATTATTATCATCAATATTATTGTCATTCATTATTATCATTATCATCATTCATCATTATACTTATTATCCCTTTCAATATTTTAATTATTATTATTATCATTTAATATTATTATTATTGTTATCACTATTACTATCTTTTTATTATCATCATCAGAAAAGCTCCAATAGTAATAAAAGAAACAATTATGATAATGATATTGATAATGATTGATGACTGGGGTACTGATAATAACTAAAAGCAATAGCGACACTAATATTCATTGCTGATAATACAAATACAAAGAATAGAAACAATCATAGGAATAAGCGAAGTTGCTGATAATAATTATAGCAAATATACCAATCGTACTAATGGCCATTATAGAGAAAGGTAAATAAACATACCAAAACTTTTCCCTTTTCCAGCGAAGTAAACTCGGACCACAAAGATTCCTCGAACTCGAATGACCTTCGTAAAAAAAAAAGAAAGAAAGAAAAAAAAGGATACATGCAGACAAAGGGAATGATAATACATAAACAAACAGAGAGTAGAAGGGAGGATCGCCCCTTCTGCATGGGTCGCGAGCTGCTGGGAATCGCTCTTTCAAATTCCGTCTTTCTTTCGTCTCTCTCTCTCTCTCTCTCTCGCTCTGACTCTCTCTCTCTCTGTCTCTCTCTGTCTCTGTCTGGTCTCTCTCTCTCTTCTCTCTCTCTCTCTCTCTCTCTCTCTCTCTCTCTCTTCTCTCTCTCTCTCTCTCTCTCTCTCTCTCTCTCTCTCTCTCTCTCTCTCTCTCTCTCTCT